GGTAAGATTTCATCTGATGCTTTTTTTTCAATTATGGTTTCATAACTTGCTATTTTTTAATGTGTTTATTGATACTTTTTTAGAGAGGAAGGGAGCGTGAGGGAGAAAAACATCGATGAGAGAGAAACATTGATGGGCTGCCTCCTGCACACACTCTATTGAATTTTGATTTCATATTAGGTTACATTTGACATCTTCCATAAAAACTTGATTTTTGTTTAGAATTAATGTTGGAAATAGAAATCCTTCCTTCTAGTATTAAATTGTGACTACTTGCTACTGAAATTATTTTTATTATGGCTTCAGTGTGATAAGCTTCATAACATATTTTAAGAATTTCCTGAGCCCTAACTGGTTTGGCTCAGTGGATAGAGCGTCGGCCTGCGGACTGCGGGGTCCCGGGTTCGATTCTGGTCAAGGGCATGTGCCTTGGTTGTGGGCACATCCCCATTGGGGGGTGTGCAGGAGGCAGCTGATCGATGTTTCTCTCTCATCGATGTTTCTAGCTCTCTGTCCCTCTCCCTTCCTCTCTGTAAAAAATCAATAAAATATATTTAAAAAAAAAAAAGAATTTCCTGAAAGCAAAGGTACTTATAGTAACTTACAATTACATTTGATTTATGGGACAGTGGAAAGTTAAATTTTTTAAAGTTCTTTTTTAAAATAAATAATTACTTCTTTAAGACACACTTACCTTGTTTTAACAGCTTCAGGAACTTGAGTTCCATTTCCAGTCTTTGACATTGCTATAATTCAGCGTTTTAATCATTTTAATGATTAAAATACTTTATTTTCCGTAGGTTCCGTTACATTATCCTGAAGCAGAAGTTTTTAGAAGCTTTATGTGTTAACAATGCAATGTCATCAGAAGATGAGCCCCAGCATGTAAGATTTTTATTCCTGAAGGTTTGCGCCCTAGTCTTGTTTCAGTCATAGTACTTTTTATTCACTAAAACAAACGATTAGTGTCATGAGTTTTTGAGGTGTTTTTGAGCCACGATCGGATAAGCTCTGCTCCTGGGCAGTGGTAGTACTTTCTGCCTGTAGTGAGTCTAATTTCGTCCCGGGACGTAGGCAGAGATGGTAACTGAATGGCTGGCTGGTGCGGAGAACGTGCTCCCGTCCTGTTGAGGTGGTTTAGGCAGCAGTAGAGGTGTGACTTGATGACTCGACAGCAGTGCTGCTTCTCTCGTCGCAGAAGCGGATGTGTTTGCCTCTTCTTTCTGTCTGCTCCTATTTCCTTTGATGCAGAAATGTTTTTTTGATAAAATGGTTATCTTTATGACAATATAAATTCAATGATACTAAATTCTTTTTGATTAGAGAATTACTATTCAAGTTTTAATATTACTTATGGTTACATCTAAAACCAGTGAAACTTTTCTTAAGTGCCAGTAAGTTTTCATTGAAATAAACCATAAAGAAATTACAGTGAGGACTTTCATATATAATAGAGACATGTTTGCCAGATAATGATGTTTACTAGTAAAAGTGAAAGAACACTGGATTGTAAGTCACAGCCCTAATTTTTATTGTCTTTGCCACTAATTGAATTACTTTGATTAAATATGCATCCTAACTTTTCCTACATGTAAGATATAAAAGCTGGAGTACGTAAGCTGTAGGGTTCCTTACATCATTAAGAGCTTATGGATAAAAATAAATAACAGTGTATGACTAATATCATATTTACTATACAAATTATTGTAATTTATCTCTCAGCTAAACCTCCTTTTGTTCTGTCTCTGCATGGTTCTTGTAGCAAATGGACTGTCCGATGTTCCTTCTCTTGATTCTCTTTCTTTTCCCCATACAAATTTTCCTAAGCAAGTTTGAGAATGGCTCTTTTGCTTTTTGGATAAGCTGGAGTGAAAGCAAGTTATATAGACAGTTGAATATTGGTATGCTTCAGTTTTCATTTTTAGAAAACTCAATTATTACCCTCAAAATTATACATTTGAAAATAATAGTCAAGCCTGAATTACAACACTGTTTTTATAGATAAAAGCTTAATGTGCTAATTCATCAAAATAATTTAATCTTTTTATTTTAGTAGTGAAAAATATTTTGGTTTCTGCTTTGAAAGTTGTTAAGTATCCTAAAAATCCTAAGTGTATTCTGTGACACAAGAGGTTATCCTTTTGCAGTTGAATAGTTTACGACAGTATGTGAAGTATCTTTGTATTTGAATGAAACACTCTCATTGCTTTCATATCTGACATCTCTTTATAGTGATACCTTATATTTTCTTACAGCTGGAATTTACCATGCAAGAAGCCGTGCAATGTTTACATGCCCTGGAAGAGTACTGCCCTTCTAAAGATGACTATAGCAAGCTCTGTTTGCTTTTGACTTTGCCTCGTCTGACCAATCACGCTGAATTTAAGGACTGGAATCCCAGCACAGCACGAGTTCACTGTTTCGAAGAGGCTTGTGTCATGGTTGCAGAATTCATTCCTGCTGATAGAAAGCTGAGTGAGGCAGGTTTTAAAGCAAGTAATAATCGTTTATTTCAGCTTGTAATGAAAGGCCTACTTTATGAGTGCTGCGTAGAATTTTGTCAAAGTAAAGCAACCGGAGAAGAAATCACAGAAAGCGAAGTACTTCTTGGCATCGACCTCTTATGTGGCAATGGTTGTGATGATTTGGATCTGAGTTTATTGTCATGGCTTCAGAATCTCCCCTCTTCTGTCTTCTCTTGTGCTTTTGAACAGAAAATGCTTAATATTCATGTTGATAAACTCCTGAAACCCACAAAAGCTGCATACGCTGATCTTTTGACTCCTCTTATCAGCAAACTTTCTCCCTATCCATCATCTCCAATGAGAAGGCCTCAATCAGCTGATGCCTATATGACCCGCTCTCTGAATCCTGCTTTAGATGGCCTCACTTGTGGACTGACCAGTCACGATAAGAGAATCTCAGACCTTGGGAACAAAACTTCTCCAATGTCACACTCCTTTGCTAACTTCCATTATCCAGGGGTACAAAACCTCAGTAGAAGTCTCATGCTTGAGAATACAGAATGTCACAGTATTTATGAGGAATCCCCTGAACGGTAAGATTTTGCTCATAAAAAATTAGGAAATCTCCACAAGTCTGAGATAATCTAATGGTTGTGTGTGGGTGTGGGTGGATGCATTTTCCTTAAAAAATTTTTTTATTGATTTGGGAGAGAGAGAGAGAGATTTGTTGTTCCCCTTATTTACGCATTCATTGGTTGATTATTTATGTGCCTTGACCGGTGATCATAACATGCTATTAGGAGAGCTACTGTGCTGTGGATAAAGTATAAACATTTACTTTGGAAAAAGTTTACCTTGTTTTAAAAAATATTTGAGGTGTAAGTAAAACAATATTGGGAAGCTCAATTATGTTAAAGATGCCACATGAAGAGACTCCTACATGTTTGATGTCAGTATTCTTTTAAAAATATTCGAGTGTCTACTACGTGCTAGCACCATGCTACATCCGGGATACAATGATTGAGTTACTATAGTGAACAAGAAGATAAATAGGAAAGAAAGGTCTATAAGGGCGTGTGTAGTATTTTGAAGGATATTTTTTCACTTCAACACAAAACTCAAAACAAAAAGGAAGAAAAATCAGTTGAAATATGTAAGCTTTTGCTATTCAAAATAATAGTCTCAAAATTAAATGGCCCCCCCCCACACCCAAAAAAAACCCACAACAATCTTTAGGCATGGGCTAGCGTTGGATTGGGACTGTGAAGACCTGACTCAAGTCCGAGCTTTATTTACTAGCCTTGCAATTTTAGGAAAAGCACTTCTTTTTTAAATCTGTATCCTCATCTGTGAAATGGAGTTCTAACCTATTTCACAGGTTATTATGAAAGTTAAATGACATAATACCTATGGAAGTATTGTATAAGTTTCAAAATTAAGTCAGATGTTACTTTATGAAGGTCATTTGCATCTCTCTCTGGATAGTTAACAACTCTTACAAGTTCTATTCATCTTATGGTCATTACGAGTTTAAAGTCTAGTAGCTAAAAACTCTTCCCAGGTCTCTCTACTTCCTCCTCTCGGTGCATGTGTGTATGTATGTTTAGGTACTTCCGAGTAAAAGGCTCCTAACTAGTGATGCCTTTGTGAAGATGACTAGCTAGCTCTGCTTTCCTGAACCCTGTATTTTGGTATGTCTCACATATCAAATGTTAAATGTTAATTGTTTTATTTTATTTTAAATATATTTTTATTGATTTCAGAGAGGAAGGGAGAGGGAGAGAGAGATAGAAACATCAATGATGAGAGAGAATCATTGATTGACTGCCCCCTGTATGCCCCACACTGAGGATCGAGCCTGCAACCCAGACATGTGCCCTGACCAGAAGTTGAACCATGATCTCCTGGTTCATAGCTCTGACGCTCAACCACTGAGCCATGCCAGCTGGGCTGTTATTTTAAATTAAAATTTCTCTAACTGAAATATATTTTCCTTCATCCCCACCTCTTCCCTTTTGTTTTCTTGCACCTTTCTGGAAGAAGTGATACACCTGTGGAGGCACAGCGACCTATCAACAGTGAAATCCTGGGCCAGAGTTCAGTTTCAGAAAAGGAGCCTGCAAATGGAGCACAGAATCCAGGACCAGATAGGCAAGAAAAGAATGAGGTAATACTTACTACCCCACTGTCCTTTAGAGCGGCAGTCACCAACCGGTGGTCCGTGAGGTCCGAAAGGTTGGCGACCGCTGCTTTAGAGTGATTCTCTTTGTAAGAAGTAATAGTATTTCGCGAGAAGTAGAAAAAGTACTATTGAAAATACGAATGCATATTTGTACCAAACAATAGAACCCCAAAATATATAAAGGGAGAAATAGACAGTTATGCAGTAATATTTGGAGACTTAATACCCCATTTACAATAATGGATAAAACACCTAAAAGAATGATCAATAAGGATATAGAAGACTTTAACAACAGTATAGACCATCTAGACGTAACAGACAACTATAAAACACCTCAACAATAGCAGAATACACGTTCTTCTCAAGGGCACATACAGTGTTCTTCAGGATAAACTGTATGATAGGATCCAAAACAAAGCTCAATAAATTTTAAGATTGGAATTATGCAAAATATCTTCTCTGACCACAATAGAATGAAGGTAGAAATTAATAACAGAAGGAAAATTGGAAAATTCATAAATTTGTCAAAATGCAATAATACTCTTAACCAGTGGGTCAAAGAAGAAATCACAAGGGAAATTAGAATACCAAAACATACAATAGTGCCAATATTGGAATTCAGTAAATATTTAAGTCCTGTGAGTTTGAGTGCTATGCAGTTCTTTTAGAGGAGTGAAGTAGAAATGCTGAGACTGCTAAGTTGAACACCCATTTATCCCATATGAAACCTGAACTAAAGTATTGTTTTTGAGGGAAATTTTATAAGTTTCTCTCTAGAGTAACTTATTAAACAATTTACTTGCTTAAATTAAGTGTGTTGGACAAGGTTAATATTGTGTTTATTAAATATTAATGCAATCCCTCAGTAATTATTTTTTTTCAAGTAATGTAGGTAGATTCTTATTAGTCTTTATCTACATTCATTTTCTCTAACCATGTTCCCCTTGTGACTGCTACAATTTGTATTTTTATCTTGGGTTAGTTAAGGATCCAGGATGACCATTCATTTTGGCCAGTCTCTTGCTGTGGAAAAAAGCAATTGACCAATCTAGTTGACTATTAAGACTCATGGATGCTATTTTTCAAAGTGCAATATATTTAGTATTTTCTAATTGTTAAATATAGCTAATTGTATATTTTATTCAGCATTTGTAGAAGTTTCTCTTGAGTAGGAACATATTCAATCACAGTCTGCTCAAATATATTTTTCTAAAATTTTTAAGCTTCGAGACTCAACAGAACAATTTCAAGAATATTATAGGCAAAGATTACGCTATCAACAGCATTTAGAACAGAAGGAGCAGCAGCGACAGATATACCAGCAGATGCTCCTTGAAGGAGGTGTCAATCAGGAGGATGGGCCTGACCAGCAGCAGAACCTCACCGAACAGTTCCTTAATAGGTTGGTCTTTCAGTCATTTTTTTAAACATGAGGAATTATTTAAAAGCTACTAGAAACATGCAATAAGTGTTATTTTCCATGTAGGGTTTGAAATTTTAAAGGTTTTTTACGTGTTTCGAGTAATGTGGAGTTAACATATCTTCAGACACATCATTCTGAGGACTCATCTAGTTGAGCCCTTCCCTTTAAAGTCCTTTCACATCTAAGCAGCCAGAGCCCCAGAGTGTGTGGTTCAGCAGACAGGCTGGAAGCAGACTGCCAGGTGGATCCTGGGGAGCTGAGGACCGAGGGGAAGTTACTTAGCTTCTTTTTGCTTGTGTTCTCATCTACTTCACAGGTTGCCATGAAGATTAAATGAGTTCACATATGTAAAGTGCTTAGAACAGTACTGTCATATGCAGTAAGCACTATATGAAGTGTGAGCTGTTATTTTGAGTGCTTACACATACAGATTCTTTTTAATTCAGTGTTTTTAAATGATTCTTATAATTTCTGCCAAGATTATGAACTTATATTATTTTTAATTATAGGAGATACATATAAAACATGTTTTAAAATTAATAAACCAGAATATGTATATTTAAATGATCGAGGGTTGTTGGCAGGTTAAATGAGTTAATGTATATTCACTTACTTAGACTAATTCCCGGCAAATAGGAAGTGTGCCATAATTGTTGGCTATCATCAGGATTGTGATTAGGCAGTACAGTGGTGACTGCCAGTTCTTTCCTTGGCTCAATAATATTGGAAGTTATCTGCTTGACACTCTGAGGTTTGTGCAAGTCAGCAAGCCTGAAATTGATCCTGTTTTCAAACCTTCACACAAGGAATGTTTATAATGGTAGCCTAGAGTCTAAGTAGGCCTCCAACATTCAATTTGAGGATTGTTTTCTTATTACCTCTGATCAAGTCAGTGGCTCTCAGAATTATTCTAATTTGATGAATTGCCACTTCTGGTTCTTGGATGTCTTTTTCATATTCATAAAAATTATGGTTGCAATTTGACTTCCAGACCATTTCATTTTCAGTGAAAGCAGATAATCTGAAGATGAAGCGGCAAGGTGATCCCAGTAGTGGTGGGGATGTACTTCCTTAGAAAAACAAACTATTCAAAATGGCCTTTCCTTCCTTTAAAGACAATTATAAATATAATTAAAATTATTTCTTATAATTTAGATGTAGTATAGAATATATTTATTGTTTAAAAGCTATTCTCAATTTCTTTAGAGGTAAGAATTTAAAATTACATAAAAGGTATGTTAAAAAAATCCATAGGATAACCAGTTCTATTATAAGTATGAATGATGTTTATCCTAAGCTTTTGTAAATTAGCTTTACATAAATTCTCTGTTGTTCTTTTAACCTTTTCTTACCTACTCTGTTTTCTAACCCTTTAATGTAATACTTTCATTCAATTTTTTTCTGGGTCCTTACTTTTATATATCTGAGCCTGTACTGGGATTTTAAAGTACCTGTCTAATACCAAGGACAAATCAAATATAGGTAGAATCTACAAATTAAAATATGCATTTTCCTCTTAATGTTTTATTCTTCCAAATCATTCTGGCAACAGAGTTTAGTTTTTATATTTAAATTTTGCTTCTTCCTTCCAAGAGGTTTAGAAAAAGAGAGAGTTATGTTATATAATAGATCTTAATGAAAAAAATCAGCCAAAGCATGATAGGATTTTTATTAACAGTACTCTATCATCACTTTATACCTTTTGATATTTTGTTTCTATTAATACTATTAATTGGCACCACTGAATTGGCACTTACTATAGGCATATTCTGCTCCTCCCCAATCCTCTCCACTTAAATTTTTATTTTTTAAATCCTCATCCAAGGATATGTTTTTATTGAGTTTTAGAAAGAGAGGAAAGGAGAGAGAGAGAAACCTCAATGTGAGAGAGACTCATCGATCGGCTCCTGTATGTGCCCCTACCAGGAATCAAGCCAGCAACCTTTTGTTGTACAGGACTGTGCTCCAACACACTGAGCCACATGGCCAAGGCCATTCTCTCCACTTTTAGAGACTCAAAATGATGTTAGCATTGTCAGCTCTTTATACTTAGCACTTCCTAAATTTATTTGACCCCAGATTCTTTTTTTTAATGGGGAGCACTTCATAGGATTAGTTTCATAGAATATTTGGGAAATGCTGCCTACTTAAATTTTTTTAACTGATAAATATTTAGTAATGGCTACCAATTCCTATAATATTCAACTGCTCTTTTAAAGTCTTGTTAAAGCCTTACACATACACACACACACACACACACACACACACACGCACACACACACACACACACACACACACTGTGGTGCAGTAAAAACCCTGAGGCTGACTTGTTTTGCTCCCTGGTACCTGGATCAACGTCTAGCAAATAGACTTTGTAGAATGAATGAATGTGTGACAAATAGGGTTGGCACTTGACTTTGTCCCATCATGGCCTGCTCTAGTCATTTATTTCCTAGTTGACCTGAGATTACTAGACAGATGAAATGCAATGGTTTGTTGTGTTTTATTGGTGATAAATTTTGGAAGTGGTGATATTTTTATTGACTTCTTTGTGAAATTTAGTTTAAAATTGAGAATTAAACCAAAGTTATACCAGAGAAGAAACAGATTTTTTTTCTGTTTTTATGGCAAAAGGTGCTTTTAAGAAGTCAATGATACCCATCATGCCTATCTCCTTTAAAGTGACATACAGTAGAAAAGTGTGTGTCTTCTTTCAGTATCTTGGTTATGTCTTCAGCTGAAGATGGTAACTTTTTAGTACTAAACTTGCCAGAGGTTATTTATTATATGTGCATGTTTTATTTATCTTCTCAAACTTTTCATCTTCTATGTTAGGAATGTTATTTAGTTTATATTTTAATATACTTATGTTTTTTTATCTTATAGGTCCATTCAAAAGCTTGGTGAATTAAATATTGGAATGGATAGCCTTGGTAGTGAGGTGTCCACACTCAACCAGCAATGTAATGGGAGCAAAAGCAATGGATCTAATAATTCTTCTATCATTAGTTTTTCTACACCACCCCAAGATTCTAGCCAGAGATTAACACATGATGCTTCAAATATTTACACGAGCACTCCTCGTAATCCGGGATCCACAAATCACATACCTTTTCCTGAGGAATCCTCTTGTGGAAACCAAGTGTAAGTGCTTTCCTTTGTAAAATCTGGAAATATTAACTTCTATTAATAGAAGTATAGAAATTCAAACTTCTTTTTGAAGCCTTACAATAACAGTTTCTGGAGCTCATTTACTTAGTACCAAATTTTTTTCTAATCTGCCTTCATTTATATATTCTCTTCTACTAAATGTCTCTTAAGAGACTATATTCCCCTGTTTTTCTTGTTTTTCTTTCTTATCACACCAGGACAGTTCTGTATTTTTGTAAGCCATCTTACTCAGAGATGATAGTTTTAGCCTTTATCTTCTCCCTGATTTTTCTTTTCTTTCTTTTATTTATTTATTTTTTGCCATTGGTATCTTTCAACAAATAATCTGATTCACAGACTTCAAAGGCACAAAGAAGGTGTTTTATAACTTGGTGGAATGATTGTCCGAGACGGTCTTGTAGCTCTGGCCCCTTCACAGCTGAAGAGTTCTTGCATATCTGTGTTTTCACTAGTCAGGGAGAATCTTTTGTCTTGCTGTCATAAGTAAACAAGTTTTAATTTATGCATTGGGAAAAGTTAAGGAAACTTTTCTTCATTTATTCTTAACATTAAACACTTTAGAGTGGTTCATTTGAAAATGCATAACTTGCTTTTGCATTTGGATGTTTATATATTTAGTATAAAAAACTGGTTTTATACTAGAGCATAAGTTTATCGAATGTATGCTTCTTTATTATAGTTCCTGTTACACTTGTGTATCCCCAAAAGTAGAACTCAAATTTTAAAATTTAATTTTTATCAAATTAATATACATACATGGTTTAAAAAGACAAATAGCACATTTCATATAATATAAAAGAAAATCCCATTTACTCATCTTTGTCCATGATTTCTACTTCTGGTAGGCTGCCCATTTTCAACCCAGGCAGCTGTTTCTTTTGCTGTATATCAAAATTTCTGAATAACATGCTTCTGTTATATTTTTATTATCCACCGATTTCCTGCCAATTAGATTTAGCTACTATACTCCTCACTCACAACACGTTCATTTTGTCTACTCCTTTCCAATATATATCCATTTTTGTTTAAATTGGTATTCAGCGTTAACGTGGTAAATGTTATTTACAATTGGGTCATGTAGTATAATGGATTACATTTCCTTTTCATACTACTCTTTGTTTTCCATGGGACAGTAAGTGCCTCGTTTTTGGTGTGCATGTGTATGTGTGCACATGCTAGTTTTCTTAGTACCTGTCACTAACCCATCTGCAGATGCTTTGAGAGGACTATAAAATTATAAAACCTCTCTTACTACAGTAAAAATGATCAGGTACTTCCTCTTTCTCATTTTCCCCCCTTAGAGTCATCCCTCTAGGATCACTCCTGCTTGATTTTATGTTCCTTGTTTCTAGGCCATTGTATTCAGTCCTAGAGAATCCTGGGACTTCCCTTCATTATCCTCCTGGGAATTTCCTTTGCCTCTTCTTTCTATTGGATCCCCATTTTCAGGATCTCATGTAGTTTCATGAAAAGAGTTTCGTTAGAAGTGAAATTTCTGAGACCTGGAATGTCAACATAGTTCACATTTGATTTGTTAGCATAGCTGAGTATAGAATTCTAGGATGGAAATCATTCCTCAGAGTTTCAAAGGCATTGCTACATTTCCGTGTTCTTGTCAAGAAGTCTGATACCATTTTGACCTGATCCTTGGTATGAGGCCTGCTGATTTTTCCACCCTGGATTTTTTTTTTTCTGCTACCATATTTTTATTTTCTAAGCTCTTTCTTATTCTCTAATTTTTCTTAAATTGTTTTTAGATCTTTTCCTTGTTTCCTGGATTCTTATTTACTCTTATATCTCCAACGATTTTAATTATAGCTTTGAAGCATTTGTTTCCTGAATTGCCTCTCTTCTTATACATTCCTTTTTCTGTTTGTTTTAGTCTCTGGATTTTATGTAGGAGGCTTTTTTCAAGTGTTTGGGAAACCTTGACTATCTGTAAAAAGTGAGGCATTAAAAAATGCTGATTGGGAGGAAGATCTACATATATGAATGGATCTGTCTACCTGTTGACCTCACAAGGAAATGATTGAGTGGAAACATTGTTTTATGGTGGGACCCTCAATTGTCAGTTTCTGTTAGTCATTCCTCTTGGGCCAGATAATTTTCATAAAGAGCAATTTAAGTTCCTGCCTGGGGTAGAATTTAATCATAGCAGCCAGGATTCTGGAACTAATCAGGGGGAAGGTACTTGACATTTCACAATAAAATTTGTGAACTTTAACTTAATCTCCTTTCCAAAATGGCTCTCACTCCCTCCTTACGACTATGCTTGCTGTTAGTGAGTCCAGAGCCACTTAATAAATAGCTCCTGAGAGTAACTTTGGGGACAGTGAGGTTCATTTGCCAAAAAAATAAACATTAGAGATCAAATGGACAAATATTTAGTTAAGTTTCTGTTTTGATGTTCAGAGTAAACTTTATTTGAATTTCTACTCACACAGCTCATCAGAACATTTGGTCATTAAGCCTCCTCCTGGAGATTCTTCAGGGAATCTGTCAAGATCAAGAGGGGAAGAGGTAATACTTTTGGGAAGGAGGTTTCATTATTTTTATATATACTTTCAAAGTTTGCTAAGGAATTCTCAATTCAAAGAATGGACCATTATTAGAAATAATTATTATTGCTAATGCTAGGATTTATCTCAAGGTAGTTAAGCTTCCACTGGGCTAAGTGAAAAGGTTGCCTCAGAAAGCACATTTGAGAGTATTTATATTAGTGGCCAATAGTGAGCTGTGCACTACTCTCTGAACCCTATGGTTAATTTATTTAGATACTATTTATGTTGCCCTGGGGTTTCTCATCAATGCATGTTTTTTGCTTTGGAACCAGACATCCTTCCCTAACCAGTATATAGCTTCCCTCTATCTTGTTTTCTATAGTTCACATTTTAACCCCATAGACAAAATCATGATTTCAGATGCTAATGGGACCAAACAGCTAACAAAAATGAATAAAATTGGCTGTTTTTGTGACAAGCACATAGGAATATTTGTCCCTTGCACAAAGATTTATGCTTGCCTAGTGTTTTCGGTCCTTTTGGTTTTCAAGAAAAGCTAGAAATGTAGATTTTTAGTTGAATTCTATTTTCAAAATGGCAACAAATTTAAAAAGTTTAAAACACACTAGAAAAGAGCAAATAAAATTTATGGCTCTGCCATTTCTGCTATAAGCAAATATTAGTAATTATATTAATGTACATAGGCCATTTAATCAGTCCTTCCCCTCCCTTTTTGTCTTATATGCCCATGCTATTGGTTTGGCAAACAGTCACATTTCTTGTATATGGATTAATAGAAATTGTAGCATTTTTAGTCAAATAAATTCATGACTAATATAAGAATTCATTCAATTACATAAGACAAACATGTGACATATCAGGCTTAGCCTCTATTATTGCATGAATACATAAAAGTTTGGGTAGAGAGTATCATAGTCTCTCATTGATATAGTCACTGTGGGTCCCAGAGCTTGATGCAACAGAGCTGAAGTGATTTGCCTTTGTGTGTGTACTTGGTATTCATACTTCACAAAGACAGGATTAGGCTGGATTTGTTGACCACACTCAGCCTCTAAGTCCCTGTTCCAGGTCCGGCCATCCCTGGTCAGGGTAGCAGGGTGCTTCAAATGCCACCAATAGCTGGAGCTCACAAAGCCTGTATGCAGAACTGCTTCAACTTGCTTCCTCAGAACAGGCTGTGGGCAGATAGGCTGACAGTTTGAAATAAAAACGAGGCTCAAATAAAATGTTCTGATTAAAATCATTTTTGCAACTTTAAGAAGGATTTTTTACAATTTCAGTTTGAAATATTAATGTATTCATTGCTGGAGATAATGGCAAACTTATTTTGTTTTTTACCCTAGGTGCATTTAAGAATAGTTCATATCCTGCTTTTAAAAACACAAATAGTGTTCTGTTATTTTGTATGTGTGCTATATTTTTTCCTTGACAGTTAAAGGCAACTTAATATGGAAATATTTATTGTTATATTTTGTCATAGTAAGTGAAGAAAAACTTGAATTTCTATAAACTATCTGAGCTTAGTTTAGCAATGAGTAGCAAAAAATGGAAAAATTGGGGTTAATTGGATTTGCCATTTAAAAGAATACATGATTGTAGATATTGAACATAAAGTGAACAATATAGTTGAAATGAATTGAAACTGGGATAAAGATGGATTCTTTCAAACTCATTTTTTTCCTAGGATGACTTTCTTATTCATTCTTTCCATAGGACGACAAATCAAAAAAGCAGTTTGTTTGCATTAATACCCTGGAGGACACACAGGCTGTTAGAGCAGTGGCTTTCCATCCAGGTGGTGGTCTGTATGCTGTTGGTTCAAATTCAAAAACTCTGCGAGTATGCGCCTATCCAGAGGTCATTGACCCAAGGTATGGACAGACGGCTGGTTGTACTGCCAGTCTTGGTTCAGTGTTTATTTTAGCTACATTGGTCCCTTTTGCAGAATTGTCATTCGGTAGTGTTTAATTTTTATTTCCTTTCCTTTTATTAAGTTTTAATTTTTTAAAAAATATACTTTTATTGATTTCAAAGAGGAAGAGAGAGGTAGCGAGAGATAGAAATATCAATGATGAGAGAGAATCATTGGTCAGCTGCCTCCTGCACACCCCCTACTGGAGATCGAGCTG